AATTCGACGGCAATGTAATCTTGGGAATTGATCGTGATCAAGCGACGCTCGTGGTTAGCCGAGGCGTGTGATGATGTTTTCAATGAAAACCGATTGGAGCGCAAGAAAACGTACGGTGCTCCGTTTCCAACGTATAAATCTAGTCCAGTCGACGCGTACTATATAAATGTATACGAGATTTACGTCCACAATGTTCTATCCTGGTGAACATTGACGAGAAGATGATCGATGGATATATATATTTTTTTTTCTCTCTCTCTCTCTTTTAACCGTTCGATCGTCAAAATGATCGAACATCCTAGTTTTTCATAATTGAAAGAACAATTGAAATCGTAAAATTTATAATATTATATATTGTTTAAGAATTTAGTTTGTAATTAATAACAGAATTAAGATATGTACAGCACGAATTTTTTTTTTCGTCATTTTTTAAAATTACCAATGGAACTTCATTTATCTAAACATTATTTATTAGAAAGAAATTTTAATTAATTTCAATCAGATTGATCGAATTTAATGGGAACTTTTATTATTTGAACGAGAAATAATAGATATTTGGGTAATTTTTGTCATATGAACTCCAATTATACGAATTATTTGTTCCTCGATGGATTCAAATAATGTAGATGCTTTTAACGAAATTAATTTATTTTCATGGTATTATATTTAATTGCATAATCTTCTATAAGTATATTAAAAATTAGTAGTTCCAATGTTGATAATTGCAAACTTTATATATAAAAAAAAAAACTTGGAAAAGATGTTTTAAATGCTAGAAACGTATCATAACTTTTAATCTCAATCGTATTTCTTATTTTATTTTATTGCTCGTGATATGAAAACGAGGATAATTAAAAAAAAAAAATATATTAGGAAATTCAGAAAATTAGAAGAATTTAATGGCTAGATCTATACGTTAATCGAAGTCCAAAGACTTTTCTACGGTACGTACTCGTTCAAATCGTACATCTTCGCGAAACGAACGAAACTCACAAGAAGACACGTATCTACAGGAACTTATCGTTTATCGAAGAACGAGAAAAAAGAGAGGCAGATTTTTAATCGTGCATTTAGGATAATAACTCATGTGATGAATTACTCGAGGAGCCGTGTATTTTATACATATATGTATATTCTGTCTTCGTATCTGTCCCGTTTTCTTCTTTACTTAAATCGTATTTATAATTAGTTTATTACGATGATATCTCTCTTAATTTATTTAAAGATCTGTAAATACGTTGTAAGTTCGATCTATAGTCGCCGAGCCAACAAGATTCAAATGGAACTGTGGCAAACCGTGTTCGAAAAATCAAAAAAAAAAAAAAAAATAAATAAATAAATTTCGATCTTTCGTATTTACGAGT